CGTGGTACGGCCGCTTGTACATTGTTTTTGGCCAAATTTAACATTTAGTGATGTATACATACGTTAGGCAACACTGTTCTCGATTCTGATCGATTTTGAAAACAAAGGGACGAAAATTATTATGACCTTAGCAATATTATAAAAATATTCTATAACTGTTTTGTTATGATGTTTAGTAACGTTTTGTTTTTTTTTCAGTTTTGTAGTATCTATTATCGGTAGTATCTGTAATCTCTATAATTTTTGCAGCACGTTGCCTCGAATGTCCGAATATAGTGAGCAAATAATTACATACATCGCCGGATATGTAGTGCGAGAAATACAAAAAAAATATATAATGCAGAGAATTAACAGTGCGCTGTCTTTACGAAAACCTGGAGTTGGTCATACGTATGAGTTTGTTGCTTTCGAGGACGAAGGTGGTCTAGTTTATCCCACCTAAGATGCTATCTAAATATGCAGAGTTAGAAATCAGAGAAATAATAAACAAATCACAAAAAATTCACACGAGGCCGTCATTAAGTAACCTACTACCTCTTCTGATTAATAAGATTTTACCATATTTTGTCAGCAGTAACATTGCCATTCATCAATTTGATCAATCACCAAGAGAAAACCATCTAGTAAAATTATTTAAGACAGTCGCAAGTTCATATACGAGGTGCGTTTTCATTATTTAAGTTAATCGATAAGATCTTCTATTACAAAAAGATACATTTAACTTACGTTGTACATTAGATATTAAAGAAATTTATCAGGACATTAATTTTACTTTGGAAAGTAAATTATTTCTATTTAAAAACGAATAAGTTTATTTTTCTTTTCCCTCGCAAACAGCGCACGTGGTCAGAGCGGCAATATAGCGAAAATTCTAACGCGAGTCTGTAATACCTATCTATAATTCGGTTAATAGAATCCTAATAATTACACATGTTCATTAGGTATTTATACCTAGATTTATGTATTTATATCAACACAATCATTGACTTAAATACAATATTATATTTTTCATTAATTCAATATCTAGAATAATCCTGAGGTTGAGATTTATTTAAAGAAAAGAAATTTAAAAGCACCAATAATGTTATATTTTGGACAGGTTTTGGACTTTTAAATAAGGTAATCAAGGCATTTGAAGCCGTGGTAGTCTAATGGATTTGACCAACTACCTCTCAAGCAGAGGGTCGTCGGGCTCCGAATCCGGGCTCGCACCTCCGAGTTCCCGGAATTTATGTGCGAAATTTAATTTGAAACATATCATGAGCTTTTCGGTGAAGGAAAACATCGTGATGAAACCTGCACGTTGAAAAAGGTTCGCTACCCTCGCAAAAACGTGTGAAGCTCCCAACCCGCATTGGGGCAGCGTGGCGGACTATGGCCTAAACCCTCTTCTGAAAGGAGACCCGTGCCCAACAGTGGGACGTATAAATGGGTATCAACCCATTCATCATCAGATGATGAAGGCATTTGAAATGGCCTGTCCAACTTTGTCATTACTTAGTTAATAATTATATTCACTAGGTACATATTTATCAGCAATACAAACTGAAAACTCGAGAACCCTATTATATCTAATTATATTGATATAATAAGTCTGTATTATATATTATTCTGCACTAAATAAATGAAGAAAACAATAACTGAATGAGTCTCAGACACACAAACAACATAATTCTTCCGTGCTCAAACATAAGTTTTTTACTATCTCATTTTTCATCTTTCGGGAAACGAAAGAAACTTCTCTCTTTATAACGTTTAGATATTGATAAACAGTCGTACAAAGTACAACTCACGACCATTATAAACAGTAACGTATAATGATGTTATATATTAACGTACAAGTTTCGTAATGAATAAATGAAAACTATATTAAAATATCAAAGCCGTCATAGCACGAAAACGGGTTGCCGTCAGTCTTGTTGCCGTTCAGTCAATGTGACCGTCAATGTGCGGGGTGTGGTGCGGTATCTAAAGCTAGTGAGAAGCGGAGAGTGTCCATTCTCGTTACTTTTTTCTTTTGACAAACCTCGAAAACCTCGTAGCCCTCGTACAATTAGGCAAGGATGCTATACAAGTTACACATTTTGATTTTAGAATCTAAAGAGAATATTTATAAATTGATAGATTTATTAACTCTAACTCATCTCCTCTAAAGAGCTCCCAAATGTTGTGTGTAATACACTTGAGCACACAGACCAGATAACCAATTACTAATCGCATGTTAAACAAAAAACAACAACAAATATATCTTTATTGCATACAGGAAAATAGGTACATAGATGTGCCTAGCTCCCAAACTAGGATCCCCTGTGCTATGGGTAGCTAGAACACTTTATACTACTAATCGTTACTTCGACGGTTCCACCGAATAAACCTGTAAAAGCTTTTACTGTATTTTGTTTATTTTTGGATTTTCCCGCTTAAAATACACCTCATAATTTTTTCAGATTTATTTTCCAATGAATTTTATAATTATTGGTTACTGTAAATAAAAAGAAATCGACAATTTCGCACGAGTATTGCATATATGTATTATACTATCTACTCTTGCATATTTATAATAAATTAAATTTGTAATATTGTTCGTGGGAATCTTTAAATTTTTTTTAAATTATAATGCATTTTTGCACTTTAAAATTTATGACCAATTACTAGAATAACCATATATGTAATATTCGCACGGCCAATCTTAAATATCCACAGTAAAACAGAGTAATTTGTTACATTGTAAATAATATATAACTATTCCCATCAATAATAGTGTAAACAGTACAAGGGAACAGCCGCCAAAGTATTTTTTACGAGAATAGAAATTTTAAAGAATTTTTTTATTAATTTCTGATAAACTAACTCTATATTTTCGAGTTCCGAGTTTTATATTTTAATATAAGATACTGTGTTTTTTATCTTTAATTTGGTCATACATTGTAGTTAAGTATATCTAATCACCAGAGAGTAATTATTTAATTTTAAGTTTTTAATTGCTCCTGTAAAGTTGCAGTATTTCCTTTATACACGTACATTTATGTTACATGCACGATTATTCGGTGGATCTGTTGGGTTCGGCGTGGCCTGAAGGCAGACAATAAAAACTGGAAACAGCCAATTATGTTGACGTACAAGCTTGATGCGGCGAAGACGTACTCCGCGGGTGATATAATGTATGTCCATTTACCATCCATCAGGAGTTGTGTGCATTGGACTAAAACTATCGAGAAAGTTAGGGATATTACGTAGGAAATGCTATAATAAAGGGAATCTATAGTGAGGCCTCTTGTTGATAACATAGAGATGTATGCAATATGCATACCTGAAACAAAAGAATTTCACAATATAATAAAATAAAAAAGGTAGTTTTGTTTAGTATAATTTAACATTACCTACATTTTTATTTAACATTTCTATTTCACTTTATTGACAGAAAATTATTATTAATGAATGAATTAATTAAGAATTAAATTGCATTGAATTTAAGGTACAGAATTAATTAATGTTTAAAAAACTGAGTCATCGTTTAATCGTTTAAAAAGTAGCACGTAGCGCATACTGGCCCCATAATAATATTGATAGATTTGCTCACTCGTAAGAAAAGACCAATGTCTACTCTATTCACGACAAACATGTCAGACGTATTAAACCGCCAGTGAACCGCAGCATAGCGCGAAACGCAATGTTATTATACTGAATTCTGAGAAATCGCTAACAATAATGATACCACATTTGACTATGTTGTTGTTGGATGATCCCTGTGACAGTTCATAAAAATCAACAACCTTGTAACGACGTACCTACACTGAGCCAAGTGGCAGGAGTGCACTATATTAGGAATTATAAAAACTATTTTTATAAACCTCGCTTTTAAATGAATAGCTTTTGTGTAAGCAAATGGCCGTCCTAAAAAAATACTTTACAGAATCTCCGCAACTGTTGATGATATACGAGTAGTTTCTTCTGAAGTGAATAAGCCTGCCTCCGCCTGGTGCCATCCCTCAACTTGACATAAACGTTGTCATCCTTCGTTCAACACCTTTTGATACCAAAGCGTGAATGTGCCTGGATAAACATTGCGTGCCGCTGACGAGTGAGGAACTCTGAGACTGTATGGGGCGTACCTTTCAAAGCTGTCTTTTTACTCCATACAGCAACTTACAATAAGAGCTCTGTGAAACGCATCAACACTAGCTGGCATTTCCTGTTGCCTGTCAAACTGCCCAAGCGATGGCAAGCACTAAGGTTCTCTGGTGATTAGTTCATGCCCAGTTCATTATTAAAAAGATCCACAACAAACTGGGAAAGATTCTCTTCAACAGCCTCCGGGATGCCACGTACAAGTAGATACTTCCTACAATGCCTCATTTCAATGTCATCGACAGATCTGCAGAGGTGAGATATTTGTTCACGCAATATCTGTAGAATGGACAATACCTCAGATTTGAGTTCACCAAATTCATCCCACAAACGTGACTGTGATTTCTCTACTTGTGGTTGTGATGTAGTAGCCTTCCACTGAGTTTTCTGCTCGTTCATCTTCTTAAATAGCCTGGCTTCAAGTGAAAATTGAGTTTCTAAGACTGTTGTGAAATTGGCCATTGTTATAGGTTGTTAAACACACAGCGAATAGTGTTTTAGTAGAGGCAGTGGTACCGGACAGGACAGTATGCTAAAACACTAGTATTTGCACATATACTGTGAAGATAACACTAGTTCCAAGATTTTGACACCATATACTATATGAAATCACTGCAATTACGCTAATTGAATTATTGTAAGTAATTAATTAATAAAGATTATTATGGGAGCTCAAAATTAAATTGTTTTTAATTCTACCGCCATAGAGAAAAAAAAGTCCAATATGGCCGCCATACATTTTCCACAGTCCACTATGTTCCGACGCCTACATCTAGGCGAGAATTGAAGATAGATGAGAGGCGCTCAAACAAATGTCGTACAGAATAGTACGAGTCAACTGCAGTAAAAAAAATTTCAAGATGGCGGAAATAAATGTGTTCTGATCCGACTGAAATTTGACATCCGATCGTGTATGGAGGCTCATAGTGTATATCTGCGAACGAAATTTGGATTCCGCCATTTTCCAAGATGGCTACCATACAAGTGAATCTTCGGTTTTTTGACCAGCATTTTTCTCCCAGAAGAGCGGGTGCATAAGAGTGATGTATGCGAATAATGGTTGGGTGGATTTGGTGAATATCAGAAAGTACCAAAACCTTCGAAAAAAGCTCCGCATCTGCCCGACCAAAGTATACATCTTGGCACCAAGGTCTCCACTCCACATACTATGTAATCGCATTACCATCCTCTTGAAGCATTCCAGGATAGGAAATGGTCGACGTCGATCTTCGGGGACGTCATTCATAAATTTTTCCAAAAAAATTTGGCGAGCCTGTCGCAAGCTACCATCGGCTGCGCCTATGCACAAGATCATTTCATAGTAATCACTATTACTGAACCTAGACATATCGTATGAAAATTAGGAAACAAAGCGACAACACCTATTAAATCATCACAACGCAAGCGGCAGTTAGAACTAATAAAAAATTCAAATACAAAAAATAGTGCTGCAGCGGCAGCACATCAAAGGACGCAGACTGAAACGCAAATTTTGGATTATTAGGATTACGTTTCCAAAATATTAGGCAATTTAATTAAGCATTTTATTTGTACTTATTTATAAGTACATAGGTGAAATCGAAATCATTACTATTCTTTTAAAAGAAGACCCTCCTCTAGTATTAGTTACATCATGGACAAAAATTTCGCAAATCAAAAGTAGGTATCAATTGTAAGCATTTTATAATTTTAATTATACAATGTATTTGTAATAATCATAATGATATAGAAGATAGATAATGAGTACAGTTGTTGATTTGAACAAGTCCTGAGTATAGGACTTGAGTAGCCATGTGATGTTGAATATTACCGTTTAGGAACTTAATTATACAGCCTGATTATTAATGTTCATTAATTATACATCATGTAATTATATATTATCCTTATTACTATAAGTAAATCTAACTGTGGTTTTAATGTACAAATGTTTAGTCTAATCAGTATTGAGTATAGGATTTGATTCGTCATTTTCGTGTTGAATAGTGGGGTAGTAGGGTAGGGGTAGTTAATAAAAACTGTGTAATATTGGTAAAATGTTCAATTCTGTTGTAGATTTTTAGTTTGAAAATACGAATAAACGAATAGTGCAAGAAGTTGTGTTTCTCATTTTTACACAATATTGTAACCTCCATTGGAGCTCCGATACAAAACAATAGGCAGATGGAGCGCGCCGAACACGAAAGTGAAGCCACCAAAGCAAATAGAAATTCAAAAGCGAATACAAACCCGCATCAGTACTTAGCAAAGCGTCGCATTGTTTGCACGTCACGAGTGATTAGCTATTTTGTTTAAAAACGTTGTCGTTTGAAACATTGTACAATTTTGTCGTTTGAAACATTGTAAAAGTTGTCCCCAAAAACAAGAAAAATAAGACTGAATATCTTTTCACAGGGAACCATTGATTATGTAACTGTTTTGTAATTTATTTACCCAATATTATTTGAGATTCACTCGGAACACAAAACCTCGGCATAAATGCGTATGTGTTGCCAGTTTATATCGAAATGAGCTTCCTTAATAGTACATTACGATATTAGTGCGTAAAGATGTTATAACCAATACGCACGTATATCGTACGACGTTTTTTAACACATTTGCGAGGAAACAGAAAAAAACATTTTATATTTTGTTCATTTTTAATTATTGAAACAGTTAGTGAAATTACAATTATTAAAATGATACGTAGTTGTAGTTGGTTTTTTAATTATGTTATTATTATTATTACTATTCATAATGTCATTGTTTTGTGTTAGGGTAAATGTTGGAGACGACGAAACTTATTGAAAGGCGGCAGAAGAGCATTGTAATTCGTCATTAGTTGTAAATAAAAAAGTGTCATCAGTAGAAGTAGAGGGGCGCGGCTCAGGGCAAAACTTCTTCGTTTGTGGCTCCAAATTTATTGCCTGAGTTACTTTGGCACTTATATTTGCTTTGTTTTGGATGGAATCTTGTACATAAGATTCTGCTACTGCGTTAGAACGCCAGCCGCCATGCCGCTTTAAAGTCAATATATCAGCTCCAGAATCAGCAAGTAACGTAGCTGACGTTCTTCTGAAGCTGTGCCCTGTATAACAATCAGCATCCGGCAATCCTAAAAACTTGGCGATTTCCTTTGGCATGGTACCGAATTTATTTATGCCAATAGGTTGCGCAGTACATTTACCTTTTTGGTAATTCTGAAAGAAATGATTACTTTTTGTCTTAGTCGTACGCAGAGCTTCATATTTTTGACCACGTTATAAAATGGGCCGTCGATAATAAAAGATCGGGGTATTTTGTTTTTAGTGTTTGGGATTTTAACTAAAAGCATTTTGCCTTGATTTTCAATGTCTTTTGTGGTAATATTGTGAAGCTCTTGCCATCTACATGCACCATGAATACCAAATATTAACGCAACCTGAAAAGAAATAAAAATGTGTTAGATGAGGTATAGGTACTTAGCTTACAGACAGTCGTTAAAAAAATATGTAAAAGCGTATGTACAATTGTACAGTAGGTAGACCAATACATAAAATAAGGAGGCAAACTGACCTTTGTTGCCAGGTACTGGCTATCTGGAGCATCTTTTAGAAACTTTTCGACGTCATTTACTGACAGTACCTTAGATTTTTTCTTTATAAAACCATCAGAGCGTCTCTTTAAAAATGCAATTAGATTTGTATATAAATTAATATCGACACCATTTTTCATCTTGAGGGTACTTTTCAGCATAGAATATGTTGTCCACAACGAGCTAGGCTTATATTTACTAGCTAGTTCATTAAAATACGCCAAAACTACATTTTCGGAAAATGACTTGGCATTTTTCATGTTTTTCCACTTCAAGAAATTTTCATACGTGGTTATGTATCTATCCTTGGATATTGACGGCAGCAAGCTGTCGCATGCGGTTCGCGCTTCTGTTAGTATATCCGGTGGAGTTGAAGTAATATTATTGCTCATCTTCATTATTGAAAGTTGTCATTTTTAGATATTCACAATACAAGTACAAAGAAAAGAAAATTTGAGAAAAATGGCGCGAGGATTATTTTCTACCGTGGCTGCGTGAAAATGTTGGCAAAGACGCTAGAGCATGCAGCCAAGTTTTTAAATTACCAAATAAACTGTTTTTTTTTTTAAATAAACTCAATCTGTGAATGCACACTGTTGCTTTCCCGCCATTTTAACAGCGCGCTAGCGCTG